AGAAAGGTGTAAAAACTAATGCAGTTGTGTATCAAAATACAGTCCTGACGAACCTTGTGGAACCTGTTTCTCATACCATGTTCAATAACAGGCACTGGGTATTCCAACAAGATTCGGCGCCAGCTCATAGAGCGAAGAGCACACAAGACTGGCTGGCAGCGCGTGAAATCGACTTCATCCGGCACGAAGACTGGCCCTCCTCCAGTCCAGATTTGAATCCGTTAGATTACAAGATATGGCAACACTTGGAGGAAAAGGTGTGCTCAAAGCCTCATCCCAATTTGGAGTCACTCAAGACATATTTAATTAAGGCAGCCGCCGATATTGACATGGACCTCGTTCGTGCTGCAATAGACGACTGGCCGCGCAGATTGAAGGCCTGTATTGAAAATCACGAAAGTAATTTTGAATAAACTTTAGTGTCAGAAGAATCTATGTTTTGTTAAGTTCATTTTGGTATATAAATGGTTACATAATGAATAAACTTGTTTCAATTATTTTATATTAAACATGTGACAGAATTTATGACTGCCTAGGTAATCACAACGTTTTTGGTTTCACTAGTTAATCTATCAGGTTGACAGCGTCAGGTGTCAGCTGAGTTTTGGCGAGAACTTGACCGGTGCCGGATTGCTGCTCCTGTATTATTGTTTAAATTATGGTTTGCTATGATGATATGATATGATATGTAAAAAAGCTACTATTTAGTGTATTAAATGTCGGTGCATGTGAGCTATTAGTGAAAACGGTGAACAAGTGCTCCAATGCTGATGTGAATCTCAAGATAGTCCGTCTGCTTAGGCACTTTGAGATACAATCTCCAATTGCCTGCTGGTCCAAAAACCACGCAATATGATGCATAAAAATATTGTGAAGTAGTAGTAGCGTACTATAAGGGATTATTAACACTTGATACTGAAAATCTATAAAAATTAAGATCCCAAATGAAATGAAGACATGGCTTAAAGAACAAGCATTCAAGCCGAAACCTTAACAAAAAAAAACAGGTGTTAGCTCAGTCAGCTGATCCCCATTAGTATTAGTATTAGGCCCGCCACATACATACGGAATTCCGTTTCGAAATTCCGTTTCGGAATTCCGAACAGGTCAGCCACACACATACGGAATCCCGTTTTGCCCGCAAAATTTCGAACGAAAAACTACCGTACGTGTGTGATGGGTCATAGATTTTATATGAACTTGCTGCGTTCGAAATCTCGAATCGGAATATCGAAACGGAATTCCGTATGTATGTGGCGGGCCTTAGGTCGGCCACATACATACGGAATTCCGTTTCAGGATTCCGTGAATACATCACACACATACGTTTTTATCCGTTCGGAATAACAAGGGCCAGTTGAGAGCATTCTGCCAGCGAATAATGACGACGATTTTCTAATTGCGATTCCATTGTTGCTGTATCATTGTTACTAGGTGCATCCCCTTTTCACCCTAAGCTTGCAATATAGTCAATATTATGTAAAAAGATCTATCTATCCTGAGATCATCATCATCATCATTACAGCCCTTCACAAGTCCACTGCTGAACATAGGCCTCCCCCAAAGAATGCCACAAAGCACGGTCCTGAGCCACCTGCATCCATCGACTTCCTGCATATCTTACCAGGTCGTCACTCCATCTAGTGGGGGGACGCCCTACACTTCGCCTGCCGGTACGAGGCTGCCACTCGAGAACCTTTCTTCCCCATCGGTTGTCGGTTCTTCGAGCTATATGGCCGGCCCATTGCCACTTCAGCTTACTAATCCGTTGGGCTATGTCGGTCACTCTAGTTCTACTGCGGATATCCTCATTTCTGAGTTTATCACGCAGAGAAACTCCGAGCATAGCCCTCTCCATAGCTCGCTGAGCGACCTTGAGCTTCCTCATCCGGCCAGCAGTGAAGGACCACGTCTCAGTTCCGTATGTCATCACTGGCAACACGCACTGGGTGTACAGTCTCGTTTTCAAGTTTTGAGGTATACCTGACGAGAAGATGTGCCGTAATTTCCCGAACGCTGCCCAACCGAGTTGAATCCGTCGATTGACCTCTCGGTCGAAGTTGGACTTACCTAGTCGGACTATTTGTCCCAGGTAAACATACTCGTCAACAACTTCGAGCTTAGTGTTCCCAACAACTACCGGCATAGGTGTGACATGGACATTAAACATGATCTTTGTTTTGTCCATGTTCATCTTAAGACCTATCCGTTGGGAAACACTATTGAGGTCATTGAGCATAGTGCTTAGGTCCTCCAGCGATTCTGCCATAAGGACTATATCGTCGGCAAATCGAAGGTGAGTGATGTACTCGCCATTGATGTTGATACCGTATCCTTTCCAGTCCAGAAGCTTGAAAACATCTTCCAATGCAGCGGTAAAGAGTTTCGGGGATATGACGTCACCCTGTCTTACACCTCTCTGCAATTGGATAGGTTTCGTACTCTGGTTCTGTACTCGGATAGCCATCGTAGCCCTGCTGTACAAGCACTTCAACACTTCGATATACCGACAGTCAACTTGGCATCGCTGAAGGGACTGCAGCACCGCCCAAATTTCGACGGAATCAAAGGCTTTCTCATAGTCCACATACGCCAGACCTAGTGGCAAATTGTACTCCTCGGACTTCTGCACAATTTGCCGAAGGGTATGTATGTGGTCTATGGTGCTAAAGCCTTTTCGGAAAACCGGCTTGTTCGGGAGGCTGGAAGTCGTCAAGTCTGCGCGCGAGACGATTCGTAATTCATAATTAATCGTATCCTGAGATATTTTTTAAATATTTATGTCTGTAAATTCTTTCGACGAATTATTAAATTAAATAAGATGAAAGGTTACGAAAAGCTGTACACCTACAAGATTAAAGGTAAAAACATACATAAACACACCTACTCGCTTCGGTCGTGTGACAAACACTGAGCGCGTTCCGATTCCGCACGGAATTTACGTATGTGTTGCCACTCGTACAAAATCTATGGAAGACTTGCGGTCGGAGCGGCTTTTTTCCGTTCGGGATCCCGAACGCAATGGCGGTCATACGGAATCTCGGATCGGAGAAATTTCCGTACGGAAAAATACCGTACGTGTGTGGCGGGTCAAGATATTATATGGACTTGCTGCGTTCGGGATTCCGTTTCGATATCCCGATTCAAGATTCTGAATGCGTCACACACATACGTTTATTTCCGTACGGAATAACAAGGGTCGGTTGAAAGACGTTAGCCATTGAGTCTAGACATTCTCCAGCGAATAATGACGACGATTTTCTGATTGCGATTCCATTGTTGCTATATCATTTTTACTAGGTGCATTCCCTTATCACCCTAAAATTGCAATATAGTCAATATTATGTAAAAAGATCTATCTATCCAGAGATATTTTTTAAATATCGATGTCTGTAAAATCTTTCGATGAAATATTAACTGAAATAAGATAAAAGGTTACGAAAAACTATACACATATAAGATTCAATGTAAAAACATATATAAACACACCTACTCGCTTCGGTCGTGCGACGAACTCTGAGCGCGTTCCGTACGGAATTTACGAATGTGTGTTTCAACTCACACAAAATCTATGGAAGACTTGGGTTTGGAGCGGCTTTTTTCCGTTTGGGATTCCGAACGCAAAGGTGGTCATACGGAATTTGGAATCGGAGAAAATTCCGTACAGAAAATTACCGTACGTGTGTGGCGGATCATAGATTTTATATGGACTTGCTGCGTTCGGAATTCCGAATCGGAATATCGAAACGGAATTCCGTATGTATGTATGGGGCGGGCCTAGTATGTGATGTCAAGTCCAGTGTTGCCAACGTAGGCGATTTTTCGCCAATTATGCTATTCGGGACGGAAATCGGCTACGAAAAATTCTGAAAGGCGACTGGTCGCCAAATAGGCTACTTCAGAGACGAACGATCGACAGTCAATTAGACTGAATCACAACAGAAGTTAATATAAGCGTAAAAAATACCTACGTAAAATGTACAAATCGAAATAAAAAAAACTGGCAACCCTGTTAATTTCGGGGAATACCCCAACTAAGGCTCACTCTCACTCTCAGTCATCTACAGAAGTGCGTTAGTGAGACGGGTAGATCCGAATACACGGACAAAGCGTTAGGGAGTAGGGCTTCTAACTTAGCCTGTTGCACATATTAAGTAACCTGGGAGAAAAATGTACGTTTCCAGTTCCAGCGAAGCTTGCGCCAGCACCACCACAGCAGAGGCTATAAAAAATTTTGACGGTCAAAGTATTGCTGATGCTTTGTTGCTGCTGGCAGCAAGTGATGATTGCTGATTTAATTAAATTTGATACTCTATGTACATATTATGAATAAACAAATTGTTAAAAATTACGTTTTTATTTAAACATAGAGAAGTTTTGATGTTTGGGCTACTTTAGGCTACTAAATCTGTGAAAAATGGCGCTACAGGTTCCAAGATGCTGGAAACACTGGTCAAGTCAAGTCAATGATCAAGAGTTTTGGCGGGAAATTGACCGGCGGCGGTTTGCTGCTCCTGTATTATTGTTTAAATAATGGTTTGAAGTGGACTTTGATATGTAAAAGTGTTGCGATTTTGTGTATTAAGTGTCTACGCATGTGAACTATTAGTGGAAACAGTGAAACAAGTGCTCTGATGGTGATGGATTCTCAAGATAAGCTGTTTGTTTGCATAGGCACCTTTAGATACCATCGCCAACTATCAGCTGTCTGCTGGATCAAGTTGCCGCCAAAATCTCCCAAGAACTGCACAATTTGACGCATCAACATATTGTGAAGCAGTATACTATGAAGGAGTGGGGAAATTACAATAAACCGAATAAAAATACTTAAGACTTGGCCTAAAGGTCTAGATACCAGGCCATAAACTCAAAAAAAAAAAAGTCAATGATCAATGTCAATTTTGTATTTTGTATTGATGTGATGTTATGTCCCGTATCTAAAATATTTTAGAATACATAAATGTACATTGTTATTGAAAATTTTACAAATAAGTAAAACAATGGTGTCACGAAATTTAACGGAGGTGTTTGTGTTGATGCGAAATAATGCCATACATAGTCGACAGCTATTTTCTGAGGTACCTACCAATTTAATAATTATTCTTTTATATTCCGCAATTCCAAACGATACTACGGCATTTTTTATATTTATTGTAAATTATCTTAAAGTCCATCATGGATTTGTCTGATCTGGAAATCAATAAGTCATGTTTTTTGGTTCAATATCAGAATTGTGTGGGATTCTAATTTCCAAAGAGTTTGTAATATACATTATTGTATTGTATTGTTTAACTTTTTTCTTTAGTAAACACTGTGTAAACTCTTTTTGACGAAAAACTGCTTAAAGTGCAGATATTATTCCTTTTACCAATGCCTTGATACACTTTATAAGGTTGACCAATTTAATACTTATTATTTTATATTCCGCAATTCAAAACGATACTACGGCATTTTTTATATTTATTGAAAATTATCTTAAAGTCCATCATGGATTTGTCTGATCTGAAAATCAATAAGTCATGTTTTTTGGTTCAATATCAGAATTGTGTGGGATTCTAATTTCCAAAAAGTTTGTAATATACATTATTGTATTGTATTGTCTAACTTTTTACTTTAGTAAATACTGTGTAAACTCTTTTTGATGAAAAACGGCTTAAAGTGCAGATATTATTCTATTTACCAATGCCTTGATATATTTTATAAAGTTGACCAACTTGTTCAACAAACAAGCCATGTACGTAAAAGTAATGGTACAATTAAGTAATAAATCATGAGCTGAATTGCTATAAATGGAAGGAAAGAATGAAATAATATTGGTTATTTTTTTGATCATGTATATAAGCAAGCTGTGTGCATGAAAGAAATGTGAAAAGAAAAGACACAAATATTTAATGAATAGCAAAATGCTATGGAATAAAATGGAAAATAAGTGATGGCTAACCAAGAAATAAATAAATACATGAATTAAAAAAAAAGAATTAAATAAAATGTTGAAATGTGTAAAGAAAATATGAAAATGAAAAAATGAGTTATCTATACAAATAAATAAAATTGCAGTGTCTGTTTGTAATGTCAAAATAACAGCTTTTTGCTAAATGCACATGAAAGTATATACGGTACTTATAAAAAAGCACATCTTTTAAAAAAATTTTTGTCTATCTGTCAATCTGTCTGTTTGTTCTGGCTAATCTCCAAAATGCTTGGAGCTATTTTGACGGGGCTTTCACTGGCAGATAGCTGATGTTATAAGGAGTAACTTAACTTAGCTACTTTTATTTAAAAAAAAGAATTAGGGTTCGAATTTTTATAATTTAGTAAAAAATGTATTAATTTTTTTTGTTGGTGGGAGGTGTAGTTTCATGTAGCCCCCACGACAATAGGTATATTAGAGTTAAGTTCAGAATAAGGAGTAGTATAATTAAAGCCTTAAACAGAGCAACACTTCTCCTTCATTGACACCTTTCCTACATAACATGGCGACCCTGCCAGAATAGGACCTAAAAGTCTAAAATGTCCCATCTATGAGGCAATCTATGGGGAGGCTTTTGTTTAACAGTGGACTCTGAATTTGTTTCTCACTATAATTTTACTAAAAAAAATCCTTTACACAAGTAAAAGTTTTGTGAAAAACAAACTATTTGTTACAGGCAAATGATTCGGAGCGAATGCGTTTGATGAGGTCAAACTCTCGCGACGTTGAAGGAGGGATTGAATTGCGATCCGAGTCGCACGCGCCGCCGCCATGGACTGATGCTTTAGAAGAAGCACATTACGTTATAACAAGGTATAGCGTCTTTTTTACGTGGTAGAGGCCATACTGCTACTATATTATGGTTGTACCATAAATTAGTCGATTTGACTGGGGAAGGACTACGCTCGTGTAAAATACCAGGGTTAAACAGCTGCTTAATGCTGACGTGTTTCGTGAGTGTAGAGAATGGGTGACCCTTTTAACTGGAAATGCAGCATTCCATCTTGGCCTTCAGGGGTTACAACGTATCTGCATTTTGATTCGTAATCAAGAATGGATGTAGATGCTTATGGGCCACAGCATCCACTTGCCATCGGGTGCATTGTGTGTTCATTTTCGTTGAAAAAACATTCTTATTCAAATTTAATTTATTTTAAGTAAAATTTCTTTTGCTAATTGGCAGGCGGGTTGGCAACCGCAGTTTATTTAATTATTTTGTGTTGTGATCAGGAAGATGCTGCTGCCCATCTCCCATATAATTTTCCCTCTGAAATAGGATAGTGGATATTCTTACATCGCCACTACACGCTTATCATCATTATCATCATTATTACAACCCTTCACAAGTCCACTGCTGAACATAGGCCTCCCCCAAGGAATGTCACAAAGCACAGTCCTGAGCCACTTGCATCCATCGACTTCCTGCATATCTTACCAGGTCGTTACTCCTTCTAGTAGCGGGACGCCCTACACTTCGTCCGCCGGTACGAGGCCACCACTCGAGAACCTTTTTTCCCCATCGGATATCCTCATTTCTAAGTTTATCACGCAGAGAAACTCCAAGCATAGCCCTCTCTATAGCTTGCTGAGCGACCTTGAGCTTCCTCATCTGGCCAGCAGTGAAGGACCACGTCTCAGTTCCATAGGTCATCACTGACAACATGCACTGGTTGTACAGTCTCGTTTTCAAGCTTTTAGGTATACCTGATGAGAAGATGTGCCGTGATTTCCCGAACGCTGCCCAACCGAGTTGAATCAGTCGATTGACCTCTCAGTCGAAGTTGGACTTACCTAGTCGGACTATTTGTCCCAGGTAAACATACTCGTCAACAACTTCGAGCTTAGTGCTCCCAACAACTACATTACATTAAACATGATCTTTGTTTTGTCCATGTTCATATTAAGACCTATCCGTTGGGAAACACTAACGAGGTCACTGAGTATAATGCTTAGGTTCTCCAGCGATTCTGCCATAAGGACTATATTGTTGGCAAATCGAAGGTGAGTGATGTACTCGCCATTGATGTTAATACCGTATTCTTTCCAGTCCAGAAGCTTGAAAATGTCTTCAAATGCATCGGTGAATAGTTTTGGGGATATAACTTCATCCTGAGTTACACCTCTCTTTGGATAGGTTTCGTACTCTGGTTCTGTACTCGGATAGCCATCGTAGCCCTACTGTACAAGCACTTCAGTACTTCGATATACCGACAGTCAACTTGGCACCGCTGAAGGGACTGCAGCACCGCCCAAATTTCGACGGAATCAAAGACTTTCTCATAGTCCACATACGCCAGACATAGTGGCAAATTGTACTCCTTGGACTTCTGTACAATTTGCCGAAGGGTATGTATGTGTTCTACGGTGCTAAAGCCTTTTCGGAAACCGGCTTGTTCGGGAGGCTGGAAGTTGTCAAGTCTGCGCGAGTGATAATTCGTAATGACTCTCGAAAACAGCACGTAGATGCGGCTCAGAAGGGAAATCGGTCCCTTAGTTCTTCAAGAGAGCGTTGTCACCTTTCTTGAAGAACAAGACCATCGCACTTCATATCCCGTCTAACAGCCATGAGATTAAGAGTGTGATCGGAGAGTTTTTGTGTTCTTCTGCGGCGGATCTTGCATCCGACCGCATGGACAGTTTCCACGAGCTTGTCATTCATATCGTCCACTGCATTGCAATCTTCTAGGCACTGAAAACGGTTTCGTAGCTCGAGCTGAAAGGTTTCGGGACAGTGGATTAGAGCACGAGGGGGACGGAGCGTTGACTTCATTAGACGTGACCTCTCCAACTTAACGTTTAGGTTCAGTGTGCTTCTCACCATTCGGTGATCGCTGCTGGTTTTCACCCTCGCGATCACAGAACAGTTGTCGTCTGGTCGTCATAATGAAGTCAATCTCATTTTTTGTCGAACCGTCGGGGCTCGACTAGGTCCACTTACTGTGCCGCTTCTGGAAGAAAGAGTTCATCATAAAGAGTCCCTCTTTCTCCATGAAGTCGACCAGCTGCTGGTTCCTTGGGTTCTGTTGCCCTATTCCGAATTTCCCTACTTTCAGCTCACCGTTCTCTCTTGTGCCTAGTTTTGCGGGCTTAGCTTTCCATTGAATCCCGTCGAGTTGGGGGTTGATACGTATTTTTACAGAAAAGTTACACTATTATGAGCACACACACAAAGTTACAACATGCGGAAACGCGTAATTATTGAGAAAAAGTTATTGAAAATCAATTATTCTTGCATTGTTTATATCTAATCCTACCATAAAACTGACGCTATTTTGTAATGTCATTGTCGTCAGTAGGGATGTCGATTCTTTCCGAAAAAGGTCGATTTTTAAATTGATTCAAATCGTAAGCTGGTGTATAGATTCACAAAAAATCGATTTCTAAAATATCTATATTTTTTATGTTTGCATTTATAATGAAAATATAATTCCATTTTATGAGAAAAAAATCCCCTTCATCATAAAATATAGGGGAACTGATTCAGAAGGATTTCTGTATCTATTTTGAGACTGCTACGTCTCCGGCGCTGTGGGAAGAGCAGCCTCTACGGCTTAGCGTAACAAATCGCAGACACTCCTCGCCTCCGCAGCTTCGGCTTGTTGGTCGCCTTCGGCGACCAGCCTCAGCCACTTATAATAGTGTAACTTTTTTGTAAAAATACGTATCAACCCCCAACTCGACGGGAGTCAATGGAAAGTCGTACCGTTTCGCGTTGAAGTCTCCCATTAACACCGTATAGTGGGTTTTGGAGGAATGCATGGCTCTAGATATATCCTCATACATTTCCTCCACCTCCTCATCGGGGTGTGCCGAGGTTGGTGCGTAAACCTGTATGACCTTCAGCGAATACCGTTTGGTGATTCTGAGTATAAGATACGCAACCCTCGTCGACACACTCCCAACCTTTACAATGTTGTTAACGAGAGACTTGTGGACAATAAATCTGACACCTTCTTGGGACAGATGGTCGCCCTCCCGGTGATAGAGCAAGTTGCCGGATTCGAGGATTACCGTGTCCTCCCCCTCTCTTCAGACCTCGGATAATACTATAATATGCCAGCGAAACTTGTCTATCTCTTCTTCCAGCTCCACGATCTTCTCGTCAGTCCTCAGGGTACGTGCGTTATAAGTTGCCAGGTCCAGTGGACGTAAGTGGCAACCGAACCTCCACCGGAGATTCTTAGCATCCCCTGCCCCGCCGTTACCATGGTTGCCACCGTAACCAGGAATAGCGGGGTCGCCGGGGACTGGGGGCCGCCTCTTCGTTACTATCATGGGGGGTATATTGCCATAGTTGCTACGCTTGGCGAGCGGGTTGGCAATCGCAGCTTTTTATTGTTGTTTTGCTGTTATCAGAAAGATGCTGCCCATCCTCTGCCTCAGTTTCCCTCTGTCGCCTCTTACGATACCCACAGGAAGATATGGGGTAGTGAGTACTCTTATCCGCCACTACACGGGCCACTACACCCTTATATATGAAACTAAATTATAATTACGAAAATTTATAACGTCAAGACAATTTTTCTTGTTCTGCGTAAAGATATAAACTTAGTCACAGTATGAAACAAATATTTAAGTGCAGAAATAAATATTTTCAACTGAAATTATGGACTTGATCTACAGACTTCGCACCAAACTGTCAGAGTTGCAAACAAGGCATGAACGCCAGATCAGGCGGCCAGCCTTGGACGACAGTACAGAGCAACAGTACATTGGCAAGCTGACGACAGAAATCGGTCGCCATTTTACGCACGCACACACACATCTATCCGCTATTAAAGCCCAGGCATATCAAGGTCAGTAATTTTATGACCATAAACTAATGTTGTGTTGTCAGTGATGGCATGTGTATTTGAAACATGGTCTTTTACTGCTGGTCGTATGACAAAGATGGATGTAGAGGGCTATGCTTGTGACGTGGTGGAGCCACGCTGCAGCTACATTATATTTGTAGCAGAAATGTGGTCCTACCCCGGTCGAGCCGACCCATTCATGCTACAACCATAATATAGCTGCACCAAGGCTCTACCACATATATTCTGTCTGTTATCTTTGTTTGTTAGGTTGAGTGTAGAGAATAAATTATATATTCATGCGATCAGTGCTTATCCGTCCATACAGCCTATAAAAGTCCACTGCTGAACATCGGCCTCTCGCATAGGGAGAATTTTATCATAGTTGCCACGCGTGTCAGGTTGGCAACCGCTGTTGATGTTGTTAGATGTTACTGCTCGTCTTCTCTTTTAGTTTTCCTCTTACGACACCCACGGAATGATATGGGGTAGATTTTCTTACACCGTCACTACACGGTTTTTTGTTTGTGTGTGCATAAGTGATTTTATATTTAATTATTTTCATTATTTCATTCATTTTCAGGTAACAAAACAGAGCAAAAGCTAGCCAACAATGTTGTTTTAGCATTGGTTACAATTTTACAAGACCTGAGTGTGACATTCCGGACCGCACAGTCCAATTATTTAAAGTCGCTGACTTCCCAAGAGGAACGTTCCAACGCCTACTTCGACCTTCCAAACTTCGAAGAACTAAGTTTAGGAGACAACGAATTGCTTCCCGGACTGACTAACAACCAGACAGACCTTTTGTTCTCGTTGCCGAGTACATCAAATCACAACTATCATGATGAGGATAAGGATTTAGACGGAATGTTCCAGAAGCCAGCTTTAAGCCAAAAACAAATGCTGCTAATGCAGGAAGAGAACACACAAATGGTGGCTGAAAGGGAGGAAGAAGTAAATAAAATTGTCCGTTCAATAGTCGACTTGAACGATATATTCAAGGATCTAGCCCATATGGTCCATGAACAGGGTACAATTTTAGACCGTATAGACTATAATATAGAACAGACTCAAGTCCAAGTTCACGAAGGTTATAAACAATTGCAAAAGGCCGAGCGATATCAAAGAACCAATCGGAAAATGCACTGTATTCTTATATTGGCTGTGACATTAATTATATTAGTTATATTACTTATAATAGTGAAGAGTTAGTCTAGGAAGCCTCTTAGGTGGACACACTTTAAGAAATACAGTGCTAAATCTTACATTCGAATGTTTTTATGACGAATAAATATAAAATAATTTGCAACACTTGAAATAATATTAGGAAAGTCAAGACACGAACTATAGTCTGTTAACTAAGATAGTGTCGGTACACCCAGAGGCGTACCTTGTTATTTTGCTTTTATTTCATAATTTTTTATTGTTTGTTAAATAAATGTTTTTCTATTCTAAGAATAAAATAGAATACTATTTCATTCATATGGTTATTGTAATAAAATACGAATATAAATAATAAACACAAGTTAGGTAGCAAAGAACTTTTCACTACGGCGCTTCTTTTTAAAAATGCCAAATTCTCCTGTGGGTGTACGCGACCTTTGATGCCTTTGATAAAGCATTATGTGAGAGTATATAGTAAATAGTATAATAACCTCTTGCATATATGCTTGGGAGGAGCAGCTACGACGTGCCTCCTTGACTTAGAATGTGAAAAAAGAGAATGGTTTTAAAGGTTGCATTGTATTTACCTATTAGATATCCGACTATTTCGATTTAAGAGAAAACCAAAGTCCTATCAGTTAGAAAGCTATTTATTTATTTGCAAATGTAAATAAAAACCCAACCAGATTAAAGCTCTCGGTAGGGGAGACCAGACGCCCGAGGGAAAGCAACTGTTGGACGATGTGGGCGGTATCAAAGAGCACCGTCTTCTGCATTTGACCCCGGAGCGGTCCGTCACGGAGTCGCAGTCGCCTCAGATGAGCCGAGAGGTTAACCGAGATTTGCCCATTCGTAGAAACAATCACAGGAATAATTTCTGCTGGCAGACCACCCCACGTATCGATCACCTCGTGAGCCAGGTTTAGATATTTAGTTCGCTTATCTGTTTTCGCTTTTACGAGGTTCTTGTCAAATGGAATGGTAACGTCAACAAAAAATATCCTTGACTGTGCCTGGTCCTTCAGCACTAACAGGCTTATTCGCAAGAATAGTCCTGTCTGTGATGGTGGCCCGATTCTAGTAGAGCCTGGCACGTTTATTTTCGAGCACGGCTTCCGGCAAGTACTTATAATAAGGCACAGTTTCTGATCCACGAAACCGCATTTCAGTGGGAGCTCTTAGAATCCTGGCCTTGTAGACTTCTGGCCACTAGGTTGTGCTTGTCTAAGTACTCAAAGTTAGAACAGAGATGACATGCCTAAGTGACTCACCGGAATGGCTTAAAAATCTGATCTTGCATCCCCTTAACAGTGCGGACTTTTCTATCCAGGGCGTTAAGTTCGGTCTGAGTCCACCTGAGTATGACAAAGGTATACATGAGAACGGGCATGAGCAAACAGTTAAATGCACCTGCCTTATTCACGCCCGAAAAGATGCTGTCAAGGACTTTAGTCAAGCGTGCGAAAAACAGATCGTAAACTGATTTTTCGTGTCCGCTTCATCGATACCTATATTTTGCGGACAGGACTCAAATGCAGAAGGTGGTGCTCCTCGATATCGCCCCCATCGTCCGCGGATTTTTTTCCTTCCCCCTAACCTTTGGCTGTTTGGTCTCCCCTGCCGAGGCGGGGAGGTTTTCATCTGGTTGGGTTTTTATCAATTTATGTATTATATTATTTTAGTGTATTTAATGTATATTTATGCAGATCCATCATTTTCTTTTATATATTTATTCATTCCAATCACATGAGAATGCTCTATGAATACCCCAAAATAATAACAATAATAATCCCCTGACTGACAAGCTTCAGATCGGGTAATAATAAATCCTCAAGGCTCACGCATCTATCTGATACGGCCTTATTGACTCTTACACATGACTTGGAACGTCTTGATTTAGATAACAATGAGTTAACTTTTTTACCTCAAAGTATGCTGGAACTGACACGGTTGAGGCACTTAAATAATAATAATTATTATATCTTAACGCAAAGAGAACACCTTATTTAATTCGGATGGTTGAGCATCTGCTTGAGTATGTATGAACACATTAAATTATAATTGCTTTTTTTGTGAAAGTGACGTGTCAAATTTAAATCTAGTCTGTAATTATTGTAGTATATTTTTGAATACATAATTATATTAAACTTACCTATTTATTTTTAATTTTTGTAAAAGTGTATTAAAAGACTTAATTTGAATTTTCGTAAGAGTGCTTTATGAATTTAATTATTTATATTTGTTATAGGCATAAGGTGAAAGTATTAGTGAGTTAATTTCAGTGATAATTTTATATAATTTTGTACATATTGTAAGTGTTGTACGAGTACTTATGTGTGGATGTGTGTATGAGTGTGTGTGTGTGTGTGTGTATAGCTACATTTATACTTATATAAATATTAACTACCATATAAATTCAGGCCTACATTTGTATGACATCAGACGAATTTCGTTAATTTTGGATTTCTCAAAAAAAAAATTAAGTATGCACAATTGTGATTCATGAACATCGGTAATTAATTGACTGTTAACTTTTCAAGGCTGATTTTCTATCATCAGATAAATGTACAAATACTCAAACGGCAGGTACTCAATTTTAAGATACCGTTAAGTCTCGTGCCGTCTCTATCACTTTAAGTCAAAGTGACTGTGATAGCACGAGACAACGACATCTTAAAGTTTAGTAGCGTTTGAGTATTTCGAGAAAAAGCAACTAAATTAAAACCCGATTAAATATAAAAGTGACACATATGAATCATTTTAATCTTGCAACTGTAATTTATTGGTTTATATTGTATTTTAATCTAAGAATAACTTATTTGTTCGTTTAAAAATCAGCCATTCAAATCCACGCTCTCACAGAATACCAGCGTAAAATAGCAGCTTAATGCTGCTGTGTTTCGTATGGTGAGTGTAGAGAACCGGAGACCGTTTTTACTGGAAACGAGGCATTCCATCTAATTCCATCTGAGGACTAACCTCAGGGGTGACAACGTATCTGTGTCGTTTTGATTCTTAATCGAGGATAAATGTTGATGTCTATAGGCCACAGCGTCCACTTACCAATCAGGTGGACTGTGTGCTCGTTTGTCACCCTAATTCTATAAAAAAAAATGAAACAATACGTTACATAATATAACAAAACTAATATTTTTGCAGTGTTGAGTGAAGTCAGAAGTGTACCTACTCACAGTCGCCGATTTTACTCAAAAATTGTAAAAGTTATTTTAGTTAATTTGATATCACCGTGGTCGGAATCTGTTTTGAATTACAATTTTGTACAATTCATTCCATTTATGCCGAGCCTGTTAAATTAATGTGGAGTTAATTTAATGTCTTCAAATAGTGTTTATTTAAATATTTCTCTGTATATTTGATTGTCATTTAAATATATCTCTTGTTATCACTGTTGAAAAAGATGAAATGAAAATTATATAAATTTATATGAATTTGTTTTATTGTAAACTAGCTGTTCCCCGCGACTTCGCCCGCGTGGAGTTATTTTTCGCGGAACCCTAAAATAAAAGCAGCCCAAGTTACTCCTTATAACATCAGCTATCTGCCAGTGTATATAAATATTGACATTAATATTTATACGATACTAACATCACTTAATTGTTTTGCCTTCCCGGAACCCCTCCACTAACACTTAAACTTTATGGTATGGTATTAAAGTCCAAATGGACTTTTAAGTATTATTAGGAATCTTTTGTATGAGAATATAGAAAAATGTTGTTTTTAGATTTTTTCAGACAATTTTAATTTTTCTCGCCGTAAGAACCATCTTCGTACTTCAAGGAATATTATGAAAAAAGAATTAACGAAATCGGTTCAGCTGCTCTCGAGATTTGCGCTTAGCAACACATTCAGCGATTCATTTTTATATTATAGTTCTTCCTCTAACCGTTTAAAAATTTAAAAATTAATATTTTCAAATGCAGTTCATCGTTATCACTATAACCTCGGTTCCCTCTGCTTTATTCAATTTCTTCAAAAATTCAATAAATTCTTCAAAAAATGCCCATAGGCATTCCCCTGGTGTTGCGGTTGTTTATGGGCGGCGGTAGTCACTTACCATCAGGTGAGCCGCATGCTCGTTTGCCCCCTCTCCTATAAAAAAAAGGCAGTCTACATTTGCATTTAGATTAATTGGGTACTGTCTATAATCTTTGCGGGCTAAACTGAATTTACGACTGCTGAACGTAGGTCCCCTTAAATTCCTACGATCAGTTTTAGGGATGGTGTTTTTCCTAATGCTCTGAATCTGGCATTCATTACTGTATACAAGGGTGTAGAGGAGATCCAAATAGTTATATGTCTATCTCGGTTCATCCCTCATTGTTAAAAATTATACAGAAATTATTAAATAACCGGTTAATCAAATTATTTGAATAAATACAGTCTCACCATCCCAATTCAGTTTCAGACGGCGACTAAGTACAGATGACGCTGTTATAACGCTGACCTCACTAAGTATCTAAGAAAATAAAGGAAACAGACGCTTAACAGATTTTCTAGACATGAATAAAGCCTTCGATAAAGATTCTGTGTAAGAGTGGGGATAGAGATCCCCACTCTTACACAGAATCTAGAGTAAATGGTTATAGGAGATATTCCTATAGACTTATTAAAAGATAATATATTACAAATAGCAAGCAACGGGTTAAAATAGGTCTGCACTGTAGTCATGACTCTACCATCACTAATAGAGTCCCACAAGAGAGTGTTTTGGGAACAACTTTATTCTTCGAATATGCAAAACGCTACAAAAACAAAATTTCAAAAATTGTTATTAAAGGTTACCAATATATTTTAACCCTAAATATTTCCAGCACAAGATTTTTACACCTTGTGTGACCTCCTTAAAGGGTACGTAAGTTGTATATTTTTAATATCGTAAGTAACTTATAACCCTAATATCGAAAATAAGAAAAACGAGTGTAGTTTCAACTGTTCCTATAATAACAGCAATCGATAGATGATAGGCTAATTAAATTCACAAGAAAAAAATAGTAAAGGTTATATCATAAAATTAATAAGGACACACA